AACCTCTGGCCCCGTGTCTCCTTGCCGGAGACCTCGCCTACACTGCGTTGGATGGGGAAGGTTGGCGATGTGTCGGTGTTCCGGGTCTGGGGCTCTCGTGCTTTTGTTCGCGATACTTCCACGGACAAGCTCTCCTCCCGCGCTATTCCCTGCGTCTTCCTTGACTTTCCTCCTGGCGCTTTAGCTGGCAGTTTTACCACCCCACCTCGCGCTGTGTCCTCCCCTCTCAGGATGTCACGTTTGACGAGTCGGTTCCCTTTTACCATCTCTTCCCCTACCGCACAGCCCCTCTGCCCCCCCCCCCCCGCTCTTCCTCGCTCTAGGTCCCCCTCCGGCAGACCCCCTCCCCCCTCAGGGTCCTGCTCCCTCAGGTGTGTCTCAGGTAGACCCACTCCCCTTGGCTGTGCCTGTCGAGGTCGCTGTAGACTCAGGTGCTGCTAGAGGTGCTGCGTTTGGGGGTGCTGCGTCTGGGGGTGCTGAGCCTGCGAGTGCGGAGCATGGGGGTGCTGAGCCTGAGCGTGCTGAGCCTGGGGGTGCTGAGTCTGAGGGTGCAAAGTCTGGGGGTGCTGAGCCTGAGGGTGCGGAGCCTGGGGGTACTGAGCCTGAGGGTGTAGAGCCTGGGGGTGCTGAGTCTGAAGGTGCGGAATCTGCCGGAGTTCCTGCGGGTGCCTCGCCACGACTGTCTCACCGGCGGGAGCCTCTCTCACCGCAGCCGCTGCGCGAGTGGTTTGCTCAGCGCACATGCGTTAGGAGTTGCGCTGCAGGAGCTGGAGGCTCTGCCGCTGGAGGCACTGGAGCTGGAGGTGCTGGAGCTGCTGGTCCTGGAGGTGCTCGTACTAGTGGTACTGGAGCTGCTGGAGCTGGTGGTGTTGGAGGCGCTGGAGCTGGAGACCCTGGAGCTGGAGGCACAGGAGCTTGTGGCGCTGGAGCTGGAGGCACTGGAGCTAGAGGTGCTGAAGCTTCTAGTCCTGGAGGTGCTGGAGTTACTGCTGGAGCTGGAGGTACCGGAGGTGCTGGAGCTGCTGGTCTTGGAGGTGCTCGTACTAGGGGTACTGGAGCTGCCAGAGCTGGTCGTGTTGGAGGCGCTGGAGCTGGAGACCCTGGAGCTGGAGGCACTGGCGCTGGAGGCGCTGGAGGTGGAGGAGCTGGAGCTGGAGGCACTAGAGCTAGAGGCGCTGGAGCAGGAGGCGCTGGCGCTAGAGGCGCTGGTGCTGGAGGCGCTGGAGCTGGAGACCCTGGAGCTGGAGGTGTTGGCGCTGGGGATGCTGGAGCTGGTGGTCCTGGTGCTGGAGGCACTGTGCAGCAGCGCCCGTTTTTCGTTCCACCGCAGCCGTCGTCTCTGCCGCCACCTGACTCGGTCCTTCGCCAGGTTCTTAGTCTCCCGTCTTCTACTGGCCTTACTCCCAGCTTACTGTGTCCACCGCCTCACCAGTCGCAGCCACAGTTACCGCCAGACTCCCCAGTGCCTGCTCCTTCTCCTTACGCTGAGCACACAAACTCTCTAAGAGACTGCGTGAGCCTCAGTCTCGTCCTGCCTCACCTGTTCGCGCTGTTCGCACTGGTCGCCGTTTTCCTCGTCTTCATCCTCCTCCTGTCCCCGGCACTCACATTATGGCACTTCGTCCTTCCTCTGTTCCACTGCGAGTTCCCCTGCCGCCTCCTCCTACGTCCTCTCTTCCTGCCGTTCCTGACCATGAGTCTTACTTAGCTCGTGCTGCCAGTCCTACTGTCCCTCGTCTTCTAGCCACTGTTGTCACTGACCCTTCGTTTGAGTCCACTGCTGCGTCTGCCGCCTGTCGTCTCGACTACGCCGCTGAGTCTGAGTCTGACTGTCCTCCGTCCGTCGGGGGTGAGTGTGCTCTTGGCACGGACGTCCTTGAGGGCAGGCAGGAGGACTTGCAGCTGCTGTACCTCATCTCGTGGCCATGCTGCTTGCACCTGAGGGAGACCCGGATGCACCAGACATCCTGACCCCGCGCTCTTACGCAGAGGCGATTACGGGTCCCTACTCCTCTCAGTGGCAGACAGCCATGGACGCAGAGATGGCATCATGGAAGTCCACAGGCACCTACGTCGACGCCGTTCCCCCTTCTGGGGCGAAAATAGTCGATGGCATGTGGATTTTCAGGGTGAAGCGGCCGCCGGGTTCTCCGCCTGTCTTCAAGGCTCGTTACGCTGCACGAGGCTTCAGTCAGCGACAGGGAGTTGACTTCTTCCAGAACTTCTCCCCTAACCCGAAGATGACCACTCTTCTAGTGTTGCTGCACGTCGCCACGCAGCGTGACTACGAGCTGCAGTCTCTTGACTTCAACACAGCTTTCTTGCAGGGTAGCGTGCACGAGGAGATCTGGCTGTGCCGCCCACCTGGCTTCACTGGGTCGTTTCCTGAAGGTACCCAGTGGAGCCACCTTTGGACGAGTCCATAGAGCCGAGTGGCCCGTATCCAGAGCTCGTGGGCTCCATCATGTATCTGATGACCTGCACTCGACCTGACCTTGCCTACCCTCTTAGCATCCTGGCATGCTACGTTGCGCCCGGGAGACACCGACCAGAGCACTGGGAGGCCGCTAAGAGGGTGTTGCGCTACTTGTGCAGTACATCGGGCATGGGGCTCGTGCTTGGAGGACAGGGTCCAGTTGTCCTCACTGGACACGCAGACGCTTCTTGGGTTGACGACTTGGCTACGCAGCGGTCGTCACAGGGTTACACTTTCAGCCTTGGCTCCGGCTCTGTTTCTTGGCGGTCTACCCGCTCGTCTTTTGTTCTCAGTTCCAGTTGTGAGGCTGAGATCTATGTAGGGGCCATGGCTGCACAGGAGTTACGCTGGCTCACCTACCTGCTGACCGACTTGGGAGAGCGGCCTCGTTCTTCTCCAGTTCTGTACGTAGACAACAAGGCCATGATTGCCTTGTGTCAGGAGTACAGACTAGAGCACAGAACGAAGCCACAGTCCACTCCTCTGCCTACCGGTCACTCGCTCTCAGCTCCACCTTCGGACGAGTTCGTAGAGCCGAGTGGCCTGTATCCAGAGCTTGTGGGCTGCCTCATGTACCTGATGACCTGCACTCGACCTGACCTTGCCTACCCTCTTAGCATCCTGGCACGCTACATTGTGCCCAGGAGACACCGACCAGAGCACTGGGAGGTCGCTAAGAGGGTGTTGCGCTACTTGTGCAGTACGTTGGGCATGGGGCTCGTGCTTGGAGGAAGGGGTCCAGTTGTCCTCACTGGACACGCAGACGCTTCTTCGGTTGATGACTTGGCTATGCTGCGGTCGTCACAAGGTTACACTTTCAGCCTTGGTTCCGGCTCTGTTTCTTGGCGGTCTACCCGCTCGTCTTTTGTTCTGAGTTCCAGTTGTGAGGCTGAGATCTATGCAGGGGCCATGGCTGCACAGGAGTTACGCTGGCTCACCTACCTGCTGACCGACTTGGGAGAGCGGCCTCGTTCTTCTCCAGTTCTGTACGTAGACAACAAGGCCATGATTGCCTTGTGTCAGGAGTACAGACTAGAGCACAGAACGAAGCACATCGCTCTGCGTTATTTCCTTGCTCGAGAGTTGCAGCAGGGTGGCCAGCTTTGTCTTACTTACGTGGCCACTCGGGCCAACACTGCTGATATATTCACGAAAGCACTTCAGTCTGGTGTTCATCATCGTTTCTGTATTGTTTTAGGCCTTGTGCCTACTTTGCCTCACTTGCTCATTGCGTGACTTTGCTTGTACCTCTATATACCACTTGTTCTCCCCCACTTTGCCTATGGGGGTGTGTCAAAATTATATAGTGCTTAGATTGTGTAGGCTGTAGTGAGGGTAGCCCATACGGGGTACAACCCAATTAGGGTTACTACTTGTACCCAACTCTTTCCTAGTTCATCCATTCTCGTTCGCTATTTTGACACCTTCGAGTGAAAAATCAAAAGTTGATTTCCTGGGGTGCGGAGATGCGCGGTCCGAAAGAAAGTGGCTCTGATACAAAGTGTTACGTATGCAATGAATCGAGGTAGCGAGGATTGCACTAGGGTGTTCAATGAGTACAAAATATGAGCGAAAGCATGATCGAATACTTAGGGCATGTTCCTACGGCCCCTTATCAGGGACACCTCGTATCAGCTTCGCATTTTTGCCTGGTAAAATTCGTGAAGGTTTTGTGGGTTTAGGGAAATTTCAGTGTGTTGTGAAGCGAGCCTGATAAGAGGTTGGCCTGATAAGGGGTCGTAGGAACATGCCCTTATACGCGAAAATGTGCAAATGGTAACGCGGTGCGTGCGAGCTAGCTAGTGCTACGCTGGCGCGAGGTTCGGGCTAGTCCCGAAGCGTAGGCCGACTCGGCTACTCCAGCAGCGCGAGGTCTGGTGAAACAGTGCGCGTGAAGTTGGCGAAGGGCTGTTAGCAGTAATGGGCGAACAACGGCTGCTGCTGTACGCTGTAACGCTCGCGGTAAGGAATAGCGAGAAAATTTCTTACACATACAGAGAGTTTTGATGTTCCACTTGGGCTTACATCTTACCATATAACCAACGTGAACATGGTATGTATGGACTATTTAGTGGCACCCTGACTTAAAAAGCATCAATCATTCACTAGATAGCTTGTCTGGCAGAAACTGAATGATAATAACATTGCTTAGCATGGCTGATTTGCTAACTCAAATGAGGGAGGCTTCTTCATGCAGTTGTTACATCCTTTTCACGATCATCGATAGGAGGTCTCAATTAAAATGGGCTTCTTCATCCGTTTTTCAACAAGTTGGAGCAGCACAGCAATACGCAGGTGGCACTTGAAGCTTTCCCAGAAGACTAATGAGCAGGCTGTTGCTCACTTGAGCGGGACAAAAAGGCCTTTACAATAGAAACCTGCTTGTCAGGCTTCTCACTAGGCAGCCAAGGCAAAAAACAAACACCCACGGAGACATCTAGGGGACAAGTGCCGATCTTATTAGGTACATATTAGTCTATGGCACAGGGAGACGTGAAAATTTGGGGGGAAGCTGTGGAGAGGTTTAGGGAGCGGCGACGTTGGCGAGGGCCTTGGGCGCGATTTCGACGCCGTCGGCCTGGCCGGGCGAGGAGTTTTCGACCTGCAGCGAGAGCAGCGTCTCCTCCCACTCCTTGGCGGGGCCCTTCCACGACAGGTCCTGCGCCATGCCGTTGAGAATCATCTGGTCGAACGCCGGCGTGCCGAACACCTTGAGCGCGCGCTGCACTCCCGCCGCCAGCGTCGCCACGTCCTCCGGATACACCGCCTCGCACTGCGCCAAACGCGCACAGGGGGGATAGAGGGACACGGAGACACGGGGATTGTTAGCACAAGGTGCTATTGTGGCAAGCAAGCAGGGGAATTGGGGACTGGAGGGGAGCATTTTAGTGAGGTATAACGCAGAAAAGAAAAGAACGCGAGGAATTGAGGAACGTCAGTGGGGGGCGAGGGCAGAGCAGCGAGGGGAACGCACGTCGACGTTGAACTCGCCGATCTGGAAGCCTGTGACGCCGTCCTTCACGGTGTCGACAAGCCCGCCCGTGGACGCCACGATGGGCACGGTGCCGTAGCGCATGGCGTGCAGCTGGATCAGCCCGCACGGCTCGAAGCGCGACGGCACGAGCATGAAGTCGGCGCCGGCCGTCATGAGATGCGCCAGCGGGGTGTTAAACTTGACGACGCCGCGCGCCTTGTCGGGGTACTTGGCCTCGAGCGCCTCGAGCTGCTGCTCCAGGTACTTCTTGCCCGTGCCCAGCACGATCAGCTGCACGTCGCCCGCCAGAATCTCCTCCACGGCCGCCGACAGAATGTCCGACCCCTTCTGCTCCTCCAGCCGCCCGATGAACGCCAGCACCGGCACGTCCGCGCGCACCGGCAGCCCCACCTCCGCCTGCAGCGCCTCCTTGAGCGCCGGCTTGATCTCGAGCACGTTGGACGCGTCGTAGCGCGCGTCGAGGAACTTGTCCTCCGACGGGTCCCACTCCGACACGTCCATGCCGTTCACGATGCCCTTGATGCCCGTGGCGCGAATCACGTCGTCCAGCTCCACGCCCTTGGCCGGCCCCGACTGCAGCTCCGTCGCGTAGTTGGGCGACACCGTCAGCACCATGTCCGCCTCCTGGAACCCCGCCTTCAGCCAGTTGATCTTCGGCCCCTTCACCGGCGTCGCGTACCTGCGCGCGCCAAAAGAAATGAGAAGGATCGGGATTAGAGCGGCTCAGATTCAATCACAACTTGTTTTAAGGAGAGAAAACATGCATTCCAAGATTCTGTTTTTTTTTTTTTTTCTTCTTCTTGCAAATTCATGGTTGAGTGCTTCTCCCAACGAATTCATACCAATCCGGAACCCCGGACCCCGCCACTACCCGCAACGTACCCGTCAGTGAAGGCGAAGGAGGGGCGGAAGGAGTCGGGGAGGTTGAGGCGGTCAAAGTCGCTGGGCACGAAGCGGCCCTGGTACGCGATGTTGTGCGTGCAGAAGGCGACCTTGGCCTGGCGGAAGTGGCCCTGCTGCTGCAGCACCTTGAGGTACGCCGGCAGCACGCCCGTGTGCCAGTCGTTGGCCACGAACACCACGTCCTCGCCGTACGTGCCCGAGTAGTACGGGTTGTTGTTGAGCGCCAGCACCTTGGGCGCCATGAGCGCCGCCTGGTTGAAGAGCGAGAAGCGCAGCACGTTGTCGTCGTAGTCCACGCCCGTCTTGGGCCCGTACACCTTGCTGCCCGTCTTGCCGTACACCTTGGCCAGGAACAACGGGTGGTCCACGAACACGCGATCCACGCCGCGCTTGTAGCAGTGGAAGAACCGCACCTTCTCCACCGCGTCGCCCACCTTCACCTGCACACGTCAGCACGACACGCCACGCGACAGCGCAACCTTGTGTCAGGAACATCATATCTTGCTTGGTCGTCAAGGTTGCGAATTTCATCCTTATTGGCGATTGCGATGAATTCAAGCAAACTAAATTCAAATCGATAATCAGGGCGGAATACTAAGTTGAGCAGCATCCCGGGTGCGGCACCTACATCGATGATGACGTCAGTGTCCCAGGCGTCCTTGTACTGGTCGTAGCGCGGCGACACCGTCATCACGCGGTGGCCCCTGGCGGCGAGCGCGGGGGGGAGGCCGCCCAGCACGTCGCCAAGGCCGCCCGTCTTGCTCCACGGCGCCACCTCCGCCGACACGAACACCAGCTTCATGCCGGGCTCCGTCTGCTCGCACCGCACCACGCCGCGCTGCGCCTCGCTGCTCTGCACCGCCGAGGACTTGGTGCGCAGCTGAGCGGCCTGAGGGGTGGGCTTGGCGCCGGCGAAGGCGGAGGCCGACTTGAGCCCGTCGAAGCGCGCGATGTTGGCGGAGGCAGGGCCGGAGACCACGGGGGAAGCGAGGGACGCCTTGCTCGTGGAGAGGGAGGCCTTCATCGCCGAGGAAACGGGAGCGGTCGCCATGATGTGCTGTGATGTTGTGCTCGTAGTTGTGACGCCTTTCAAAGATCAAGAAACTGAGTTTGATCACAAATTCAGCTCACTGGTTTGCAATGGCACTCAAGGTTGATGAAGAGTTGTCGAAGTAATTTATGGGAAGGAGGGGAGCGAGGCATGGAAATTGCCGAGTCGCGCCAACCTCTGAATTTGCGGGAGGAAATCTCCAGAAGAGGAAGGACTCGTGGTGGAAATTCGTGTCAAGGGAGCTGGGGAAAAGCAGTTGGAAGGAACTTGTGGTGGGCCATGACCGGCGGGTAGTTGTGATTTGCGGAAAGGTGGTTTGGAACCTTGAGTTTGCTTACAAGGCTTCCGTAGCTTTGAATGGCTCTCAACGACCGCCGGGCCTGCGACGGAGGCTCGATTATGTGAAAGTCGCGTGGTTACGGAAAACAAACGGAGGAGAGAACTTGTTCCGAGATCCTTGGAGTTTGTGTTCGCTATTTGTCACGTCGGACGGAGTGCCACGTATGTGAAGAATGCCATTAGAAGCGCACCAACAGATCCCATGACATCTTCAATTTGCATTTACTATCTCAATTAGTTAAAAGCATGAAGACAACAGGACTGACTTATTTTCACTAGGAAAAATGGTAGTAAGCATCTCAAGATGGCATCACCAATGAGAGGAATTTGGCATCCCCAAAAGCCCATGGTTTATCTACGCAAATTAGGGCACCATTCCTATCTGTCCAGAAAACTACTGGCTGCTTAGGCTACTCAAGACACTGATGTGGTTGGGTGATTTCGAGTTCTCTAAAATGGTGCTGCACACCAGCAGCAGCGATTCCCGATTACTCGGACAACAAACCAGCTGTGCCACCATCGCCAGAACCACCACCAGCAGCACCCCCGCCAGCAGCAACAGCGGCAACAACAGCAGGAGAAACCCGGGCAGATAATATGGGTGGGAGAACGAGAGGGGCGCTCCAGTGGGGGAAGGGGGAGATGCGGGGCGCTTCCAGATGCACGTGCCACACAAGCACCCGGGAGCAGTCGTCTGCTAGCGCCTCCATCTGTGACTCGTCGGCCACCAGTTGCTCTATGAACGTGGTCTCCTGCACAGGTGCAACATGCGCACAGACAGTGGGGGCGAGAGGCAGGTGGGAATGGAAACACAGCGAGTTGAGTCAACTCCCTTTAACCACCTCCAGCCCAGACACAGGGCCATCTGCAAACAGCAGATCTCAGTGATCCTCACACTCCTCCAAGTGATAACATATAACATCTCACCCATCATCCCTCCCTGAACGTTTCCCACCACACAACTTCCCTTTTTTTTTTTTTTTGCTCCCCCTTTTCACCCATGCCAAGCCATCCCAAACACCTCCTCCCACCTCCCTCCCTCACACCAAACCCTCATCGCACCTGAAACCCCTCCTTCACAGAATCCAGCTGTCTGATTGGCTGGTCCGTTGGGCGGCGCCACAGCGACGGGTTCCAGAGAATGGTGGAGTTGAACGCGAATCCGCACATGTCCACGTGGAAGCGCCTCACTCGCCGGCTCTTCTCATTTGTGTGCCATCCAATCACCCTGCCGCCCTCGCACACAGGCCCCTCCAGCGTTGCCCGAGACTTGCCCTGCTGCAGCATTGCCACTGGCCACGTGCCAAAGCGCCTGGGGCGTTGCAGGGCGAGAGGGGGGAGGGGGAGTGAGGGGTAAGGTTAAAACGATGAGGTTAGGCTTGGTGCTGAGCGGTGGAGAGGTGGAGTGGGAGTGGGAGGCATATGGCGGGAGTGTACGCAAGAGATGAGGTGAGGGGCCGTGGGACGTGGTGACACATGTTGGAGTAACGGGGGGAAACGCAGTCAGACAGACAACGATTGTAGTATTGCAGCTGGTGCCATGGGAAGGCTGTTGAAGAACTCAGTGTGTGGTTCACGGTGAGAGGGGAGGGGAATAGATGAGTGGGAATCGCCGTTGGCACATAGAGAAAAGGAAAATGAGGAGAGGATAGAAACAAATGGCCAAGGAACCGGGGGGTTGCAAGCAATGGCATAGCGACAATAGCAATGAGACGGATTGCACGGAACCAGCTAAAAGAAAGGGCAGACGGGCGCAGAAAAGCGAGAAACTGACCAGAGACAGAGGCACAGCACCAAACCCACCCCCCACCCATCCTTCCCCACATCCCCCACCGTCCACACCCCCTCCCCCCCTTTTCCTCCTCCTCCCCTTTTGCACTCACTTGATGGCGCGCATCTCCTCGAAGAGCTCCAGCGAGTAGATATTATCATCGTCCGCAAAGTACATGATTCCGTCTAGGCGGTGCTTCTCCACGTGCTCCATGGCGGCGTTGCGCTGGTGCACGCCGCGGTCCTTGATGTCCGTCATGTTCTTGTGCGCCACGAGGTGCCGGTACACCAGCCCCGTCCCGCGCAGCAGCGCCGCCGTCTCCGCGGATTGCGGGAAGATCTCCACGACGAGCCAGAGCAACGGCGGCGGGACTTGCGCGAGGAGGTTCGCGAGGCGGTGCAGGTACATGGCTTGGAACGGGCGGACGTAGGTTGGGGTGACGATGATGAGCAGCGGGCGCACGCCGCCGCCTGTTTCTTCCCCCGTGCGCGCGTCCACGCGGTGGTACGCGGAGCACTGCGCGCTTTCGGGGGCCGGCGGAACGCGGAGGGTGGTGAGGGAGGAGGCGGAATCGGAGGGGAAGGAGGAGGACGACGAGAGCGGAGAGGAGGGAAGTCGACCCAACGTGCTGCTGCTACCGCTGTCCTTGTGACTGCCTATGATAGTACTGCTGCTGCCGCTGCTGCTGCTGCTGCTGCTGCTGCTGCTGCTGCTGCTGCTGCTGCTGCTGCTGCTGCTGCTGCTGCTGCTGCTGCTGCTGCTGCTGCTGCTGCTGCTGCTGCTGCTGCTGCCGCTGCTGCTGCTGCTGCTGCTGCTGCTAATGTCGCTGTCACCACTCCCACCAGCCAACAGCATTGTCCCTCGCACGCGATCCCCGGCCGCTTCCGCTTCCGCCTCCCTCCGCGCAACTGCCTCCGCCAGCCGCTCCTGGCGGAAGCCCGCGGGGGAAAGCGCGGGGCGCACGATCTTCTCCTGGCGGAACGGGTGCAAGTCGGAGAGCAGCGGCCACACGCCCTTGTGCGCGCCGTCTAACCACAGCAACCCCGCAGTGAGCCCCACGATAAAGCACAGCAGAAGGGTCCCCGGCCGAATACCCATCGCCGCCACCGACAGCGCGGGGTTCCGCTTCTGCCCGCTGGCAGCTCCACCGACTCCGCTTCCGCTTCCCCCTGCGGACATCCGCGCGAACCAGCCCTGCGCTGCTCCCACGGACCCGGGGAGTCGGGTCTCTCCTCCGCCTTCCCCATCGGACTCCCCCTTCCCCCAATCTCTCCCCTTCTCCGCATCGTCCCTATCGTCTCCCGCCCGCGCGGTGCTTCGCCGGGGGAGGGGAGTGACGCCCAGGTTTCCGCCCATGGGCGAGAGCGCGGAAGCGAGAGGCGCTGCGCCAAACGACGACACAGAATCCGCGGACCCTGCTACTCCCCCTCCCCCTCCCCCTCCTGCTGCATCTGTCGCAACTGCTTCTGCAAAAGTGGCTCCGTAAACGGAGGAGGCTTCAACTTCAGCTGGTCTGTCCCCGTGCCTGTCTCCGCCGTATCCCGTCCCCGGTGTGCTGCCGAACGACGCATCCACCCTACCCATCCCCGCTATAGCTGCACCCTCTTCCCGCTAAAGCTGCTGCTGCTGCTGCTGCTGCTGCTGCTGCTGCTGCTGCTGCTGCTGCTGCTGCTGTTGCAGTGATACCGCAAGCGATCTAGATTATGGACGGCGGCTCGTGCGTGGCCTGGAGAGACGTATTCGACGGAAGGCTGGGTTTGCAGGAGAACTAGCCGTTACGGCCGGTGATGCTCTAGGTTACCGCCGAAGTATCCTTGAAGTGAGACTGATTTGTTGTGCTTGTATCGGGCGAGGAGACAGCATGCGAAGATGTTCGGCTACCCAGGAGTGACGTCGAGCTAGGCTGCGGGATGGGTGATGGAAAGAGACGCAGGAAAGCACAGGGACAGACGCAGATACAAACACACGCATTAAGCAGGTGATGATCGCCCTTCGGGCTTGAAGAGCAGGGACGCGAGAGGAAGGATGCAGGATGAAGCAGGAGAAACAGGATAAAGCCTCAAAAGCGGACAAAGGGGAGTCCAGGAATGCCCACCAGGAAACCCGCTAGTGGCGTTGGATCATGCTCTATGCAATACAGATTATTGACACGTAATGAGCGTTGGAGTCAATTCCTACGGCAGGGTGCTTGCTGTGACAACATAGTGGAAGCGTCGCTTCATGATATTAGCTTCGGTCGTAGAACGTTCCAATAATAAAGCTTACCGTTGTTAAAAGAGCTAATCAGCTTCTTTTTAGAAATCGCAGGTCGTTTGGTTGGCAGCAACGGAACGGCAGTCGACTGTTGTTTGCATCTGAAGGAGCCATGTCCTAGCTAACGGGAATAAGCAGCCTATTTCCTTAACTCGACAAACAATGTTGAATAGCTCTGGCTAACTTATCTGCTGGCTACGTGGTCCGTATCAGAAAATATTTCGGTGATGCTTGAACCAGGTCCCACCGCTTACTAGCTAGACATCGGCTGTCAACATAGTTGGTCCTCTTTGTGGGTCAGGCGATCCTGGTGTTGACAGGCACTGCCAAGCTAACAAGTGGAGCCATGCAACACATGAGGGCGTGTCTGTCCTTCGCGGTTATCTCGCGGGTTTTCCTCGCGGTTGAGAGGGGTTAAACAGCTCACAAATTTTGAACCCTTGCGCACCAGACTAAACCATACGAAAACGTTTCCAGCATACAGGCGAGAGAGAGGTAGGGGGAGATGAGCCAAACGGTAGAGAGTATCCCCCGCACGGTTGTTTCCTCATGTCAGCGGAAAGGCGCACTGGTTCCTTGGAATCCCCGCTGCCCCTTCCCCGCTTCCCCCCGCCCCATTACCCCTGACCCGAATTCTTCTGTACTGTTCGTCCCTCCCGCCGCACAAACGGAACTGTGCTTGTGCTTTCCGCCCGCAATTCTCAAACTTCGCTTTGGTTGCGAGTGTGCTTTCAGTGAAGGGCAAGTAACGAGCACGCATGTCACCTGACACACGCCTGACAGTCAACGTGATAAAACATACGAGTCGCACGAGCGTGGATTGGTTGAGCGGACTAGCTCGGCGACTCGATAAAAACGACCTGTGAAATCAGCGGGTGGTAGTGTCGCTTGTTAAAATCACAGCAGGGTCAAGGAAACATACCATACTCATCTACACAATTAACCAGATAAGTCGGCAATATGTAGTTCTTAACCGTTCCTTAATCTTATTATTAGAGACAGATAATCAGGCTAGAAGGCATTCATAAGGCAGAAAAATACTGCTTGAGCTCTAAACACCATGTTGAACAAGCTGGTTCCGAGTCTGGATACGATACAAGTGTCGTTAATCAATCTCGCAAGTCATGTGCATGGGAGGTTACAGGGTTTGTTTTTCTCTTAGGAGCTGCAGGTGCAAATGTAATGCTCCTGGCACAATAAATTCCAAGGTGCATACTAGAATACTTCCTGTATGTCTCCAGTCCACTCCACCATTCCAGATGTAGGCACAATGATACCAGTAGAAAGAGCAGCACCACAGAACACCTTTCTTGCAGACCACAGCATTGCATACCAGTAACACCCCTGATCACGACAAAGATGTCATCCTGAGCTGAAATGCTGGGGTGAAAAAGTGACCCCACGCAAAGGAAACCGCCAGCACACTGCTCCCAGTGGCTGCTGCCATCAGCATATACATGACTATAATCTGCAAGTGCGTGGCTTCAAACGGGGAAGCACCACCCATAATCAGCCCAGTCATAGCTCCCGGCAGGGAAATCAAACCCACAGTCTTGGTAGAGTCAAGGAGAGGAGCCAGAGCGACTACCAGCGCTCGCCTCCTGAGTGTTGCTGCTGCTTGCATGGGATTGGCTCCCAATGCCAATGCGGCCTCCACTTGTGCTGCGCTTGATTTGAGATCTTCTCGCAATCTGCGCAGTGCCACCCCTGTGGCCGTCATTGCATTGCCTACAAGCATCCCCGCAACTGGAATGAGGAAGCGTGGCGTGGCCGGGAAGATGCCAAGGAGGAGCAGCGCGACGAGGGAGACAGAGCAGGAGATGAAGATGGACGCACAGGTGACAAGACGAAGAGCCGGGAGGGAAGCACGGGAGGCTGCAGTAACCCCCGCGATGGTAACCATGAAGCAGAAGGTGAGGAAGATGAGAGGCACCGAGACTATCCCGGTAATGGAGAAGACAAAATTGAGTACAAAGCCGATGGCGCAGAGCTGAAGGAAGGCCCTGAGGGAGGAAAAGAGCATGTCCATCTCAAGGCCAAGGGAGTTGATGTGGGATAGAACCATGGCTGCTGCGACGAGGGCTGTTGCTGCCAGCGTGCGACCCATCCCTGCCAGGAACGCTGCCACGTCATCCTCCCACCAGGCGACAGCCGCGTGGAGGAGAAAGGCAGAGGAGGAGGCGATAATGGAGGAGAAAAGAGCCATGTGCGCTAGGTAAGGGTCGCGGGGAAGCAGGAGCTTGCTGAATACTGGCACTCCCTTCCCTGACTGCCTGACTGTTCGGTCTGACTACTGGGCCTGAGATCCTGGCGTGGACTGCCTGACTGCCTGCTGGTCTGCTGGGCCTGACTGCCTGCCGAGCCTGATTGTCTGCCAAGCCTGACTACCTGCCGAGCCTGACTGCCTGCCGAGCCTGACTGCCTGCCGAGCCTGACTGCCTGCCGAGCCTGACTGCCTGCCGAGCCTGACTGCCTGCCGAGCCTGACTGCCTGCCGAGCCTGACTGCCTGCCGAGCCCGACTGCCTGCCCGGCCTGACTGGGTGTCACCCCCTCGGCCTACTCCCTGTCCGCGCTGCCCTGGAGCAAGCCCCCCAGGAACTCGTGCACGAGGTGGTGCGCGGCGCGCAGAGCCGGGTCCGGTGAACGCAGCAGCGCCGTGGGCAGCGCGTCCGCGACCGCGCCGTTGCGCAGCAGCACGAGCGAATGCGACACGCGCAGCACCTGCACCCCGGATGGGGCGCGCGGAGAGGGTGCGTGGAGGGGCGGAAAGGGTGGACGGAGAGGGTGGGGGGAGAGGGTAAGAAATGGAGCAAGGAGAAGAGACGAAGGTTGGGATGGGGATGAAGGCAAAAAGACATGAAGAGACGATCCCTCTGCCGTCCCTTCCCAACATTCCCCCCTCGACGTCTCTTCCCTCGCGCTTCCCCCTCACTGCTTCCCAATATCACCGCGCACGGACGTTACCTGTTCCGCGCTGTGGCTGACCCAAACCGCCGTCAGGCCTCGCTCGCGGCACAGCGTCTGCACGGCTTGCTCCACTTTAAGAGTCGCCGCGGGGTCTAACGCGCTCGTCGGCTCGTCCAATAGCAGCACCTCGGGGTCGTTCGCCAGAGCGCGCGCGAGCGCCACGCGCTGCGCCTGTCCCCCGGATAGGCTCCGCGAATCCCGCTCCACGAACGACGGCTCGAGCCCGGAGAGACTGAGTAGCTCGTGGATCTTCTCGTCTGGGAGCTGCCGAACCTCGAGGTTCGGCCCGAACCTGATGTTGTCAGCAACGGTACCGTCGAAGAGGCTCGGGGTCTGGAAGAGCATGCCAACGCGGCGCCGGAGGGTGATAACAGGAAGCTTCAAGGAAGTTATGTCGGTGCCATCAAGGAACACGGAGTTCCGAGGCGGCTCGGTGAGGCGATTAAGAGTGCGTAGGAGAGTGGTCTTGCCGCTGCCGCTAGGGCCGACAAGAACGGTGATTTTGCCACGTGGAACTTCGAGGCTCACGTCCGACAGGAGCGGCGGAGATCCGTCACCTTTCGGGGATTGGATGGTCAAGCCGCGGACGGAGAACTTGGAATGAGTAGGCTGTCCCGGATCGCGAAGGAGATTGCCGTCCGAGAAAGACGAAGGTGACGGAGACAATGCCGTTTCAAGTCCTGCCGACGAATCGTTGACGGATAACGTCACCTCGCCGTTTACTGATCCGTCAGCATCTGCCGGCGTCGTTGCCGCCGCGGCGCGTTGCAACAGGGGTTCTCTGATGTCTGGATTCAGTACGCTGCTGACAGCTTGAGGCACGGAAAACATGAAGAAATATACAGCTTAAAAAATGCAGGAGCTGCGATTAAGCTGTGCGTCCGGCAGTTGTCCACGGAAATATTATAGAACCTACCGCAGCTAGCGCAGGAGACGGGGATTATTCAAGCGAGGCGAGAGGCAATGAGGAAGTAGAATCCCCAATCTGCTCTGTTGCTTGCTGCTTGGTGTCTACGAAAGGGAGGTGTGGCTTTTTCTTTGAATGGACTTCCCTTCCCACCGACCAGGGTCGACCCAAGATGAGACCCAAAATATAGTAACTCCATGCGGGACGTTTTCGTAAGGTTCCGTCTGGTGTGAAACGGTCTAGAACGGTAAATGCCAAGATACTTAATTTAGCATATCTGAACAAATGAATGTGATTTGCCCTCACCACAACAGTGTTACAAGGATAACGTGGTGTGTTTATGAAGGGTACAATTGCGCAACAGCCTTTCTTGTGACAGGTCGCGATGCGTGAAGGAAGCTGGTCGACAAGGAAGCCTTCAAAGCCGCTGGATGCAGTGCATCGGGACGGTTCTACAAGCAGCAAATTTTCCCAGGAAAACAGGTGAGAAGGGGGAGGGGCTGCGCTGTTGGATTCCCCAATGCTGGACGCGGATCTAGGAAAAAGCTTTCATGTTGACAAATTTGTTATGCTTTATTTAGCTGTACTTCTTCAACACACAAAACACAATCTAGGATAAGCAGATGAAAAGTAAGAACACATAATGTTGCTCGGTTTGCTAAGGGTTAGAAAAACTGTGGGTATGATGTGCAAGCTGCCCGCTCACTCCTTCACATGCGGCCTTACACAGCACGTGAAGCCAGCTCTACGCCGGGCAGCAGCCAACGAGTCCTGAGTAGGAATAAATAGGAGGACGGAGACAGGGAACGTGTTTACGTATTATACCGGTAAGCTCCGAAATGAGAGACAGGTCACAGAGATATGATTGAAGCCTATACACCTCTGTATCTAGCGCAACTGTAGCAATGTAGCTTACGATGTGTGTGAAAGCATCTGCTTACCATGGTGTGCAGTGGAGAAGTCGAGTTGTCCATGTCCTTAGTGTCCCCCCCAACGTGTAGTTGCTGCTGATGGAATTGTAGCTGTTTTGGTTCACCTCCTTTCTCCAGCCCTTTCCCTTCTTTGTCACTCCTGTCATCTCCCCCAGTCTCCCCCCCGTCTCTCCCTTCTCTCGACTCCACTCCCTCCTCCCCATCTCTCCCCCCTCCCACCGCCCCTCCTCCAACCCTCGGTGCCACATCACCATCAATCAAACCTGCTACCACTGCACGCGCCTCAGCACCGCTCTCCAACTGATCCAATCCCTTTCCACCCCCTTCATCACTCAGACCATCTCTCATAATCCCCTCCTCACCCCTCTCCTCCCCCTCCCCATCCCTCCCCACCCCTCTTGGACTCCCACCATTTCCCGCATCCCCACTCCCTCCTCCACCGGTCGCCCCCATACCCGCACTCCCCCCACTGCTTCTAGACCGGGTGACAGAGCGGACGCGGGACATGAGTCGAGAGCCAGCAGCAGAGAGAGAGAGCGACGAGGAGACTTTGAGGGAGGAGGAACGCAAGGGGCGGGGAAGTGACCCCCCCGCACCCCACTTGCTGGAAGAGGTGTGGGAAGGGGAATGGGGGTTGTTGGTGGAAGAAGAAGAGTGGGATTGCGGAGATGTGTGGGATGGTGGGGAGGGGTGGGACGATGGCGGAGAGTGGGAAACTGGGCCGGTGTGAGCTGGGGGTGAGGAGTGGAGAGGAGAGGAGAGGGAGGATATGGGGGAGGGAGAGGGGTGGGGATCAGAGGGGGAGTGGGCCTTAGGGGGGGTGGTGGTGTGGGTGTTGGAGGGAGTGGCAGCGGGGCGGGGAAGGACAGTGGTGGGGGTGAGCTTCTGGGAAGGTGCATGGAGGAGCATGGATCCAGGTAAACGTGGGGCAGGCGATGTGGTGGTGGAAATTGGTGTGGCGGATGGCAGGGCGGTTGTTACTGATGCGGGTGATGCAGTGACAGTGACAGGTGCCACGTGTGTGGCGGCTGTAGCAGGTGTGGCGACTGTTGCAGGTGTGGCGGCTGTAGCAGGTGTGGCGGCTGTAGCAGGTGTGGCGGTTGTAGCAGGTGTGGCGGCTGTAGCAGGTGTGGCGGCTGTAGCAGGTGTGGCGGCTGTAGCAGGTGTGGCGGTTGTTGCCGGTGTAGCGGCTGTAGCAGTTGCAGCAGCAGCAGGGACGGAAGGTGCAGGCGCAGCAGCCATACGGGAAGCACCATCATCAGCATCATCACCACCAGGAGAAGCGGAACCTGTAGGTCCCCCAGGTGTGGGTGATTCTGGTGCAATTGCACCTACATCCAGTCTGTCTGCTTCCACTGCTCCTGCTGCCGATGGTTCTTCTCGTGCTTGTGATGCTTGAGACGGTGTACGTCCTGAGAGGGTGTCACCTTCTTCTTTCGCCTCTGCGACAGTGGCTTCTGCCGCTGCCGCCCCTGCAGGTGCTTCTTCTGCTTCTTCTGCTGCTGCTGCTGCCTGTGCTGATGAATGTGGTGGTAGCAATGCCTCTTGTCCATCTCCCTGTACCGCCGCCGCCACTGCCGCCGCTGCCGCCGCCGCCGCCGCCGCCGCTGCTGCTGCTGCTGCTGCTGCTGCTGCTGCTGTTTGTGCCCTCTCCTCGTCCTCTGTCGGTGTGAGCCCATCAGGCAGCAGCAATGCACCTGGAGCCAACTTTTCCACGCCTTCCCTCACCCCGGTTCCTGAACTATCGCGCTCAGACTCACCATCCGACCTTCCCTCTGCACACACTGCGGTATTTAGCCCCGTACCCTCCGGTCCCTCATCCCCTGTTGCTCCTACTAACTCCCCGGCACTGATCAGCACCCCACTGCTTGGTTCCTTTTCTTCAACTCCCTGCGCCCCATCACCCGTAGTGCCAGCCTTCCTCTCTTCCTTCCCCTTTTCGTTACCCTCTCCCTTCCCCTCTTCCTTCCCCTTTTCGTTACCCTCTCCCTTCCCCTCACCCATCCCTTCTCCCCCTTCCTCTCCTCTCCTTTCTCCTGATCCCAACCCCTCTTCAACCTCAGCCTCTCTGTGTCTCGTTCTCCCTGCCTCTGCCTCTTCCTCTGCCAATGACTCTCCCTCCACCTCTTCTCCTTTACCAAATCCAGTCACTGCTGCTTCTATCTTGCCATCAACCCCATCCACACTAGACTCCATTACAATCGCCCCCTTCTCCTCCACCCTCGTCTCTCCTCCATCTGCCATCTCGCCCTCCTCCAGTTCATCTCTTCCATTCAAACCACTCCTCACCACCTCCTCTCCCTTCCCTTCCTCTCTCTTCCCTTCCTCTTCCTTCCCCATTGCTCCCCTCCTCTCGCCCTCTCTTCCTTCCTTTCCTCCTCCCTGCGTCTTCATCTCCTCCGTCCCCTCCCCATAATCCAGAGAAACGCCCACCACTGCTCCCCTCGTCTCGTCCTTTCCTCCTGCTGGCCCCTCTTTTCGAGGCGCCTCATAAATAGACCCCTTTTCCCCCTCTGCCCCCTTTCCACCCTTTCCCTCCTCCGCCCCCTCTCGTCCCCCCAACCCCTCTCCCCCTTTTCCACCCTCTTTCCCTTCCGCCGCCTCTGCCCCCCCTGCCCCCACTGCCTCCTCATCGTCATCCTGGTAGTTGAGAAAAGCGTCAACAACAGCGTCCTCCTCCTCCCCCAGTCCCAGACTCATGCCATCTCCCCCCTCCTCTGCCTCGTAAAACTCCTCCTCTGACGATGAATCGCCCTCCCTCTGCTCCTTTTCCTCCTTTTCATCCCTTTCCACACTCGCATCGTGCTCCTCCCCCTCCCTCTGTGCTTCCTTTCCGCTCTCCTCTTCTCCACACTCCTCTGTCTCCCTCCCCTGCCTCTCCTCTCTCCCCACCCCATCATCTCTCCCCTTCCCCTCCGGCCCCAGCCCAGCTCCTCCTTCCCTATCTCCCACAATCGACACTCCTCCCTTCACCAACAGTAACCTACCACTCTCTAGCTCACCTGTACCCTCGCCTGCCCTGCTGCCACCGCCAGCAGCACCATCACCAGAAGAAGCACTGGAGTCCCCGCCACAAGCCACACTGCTGCCTAGGCTGCTATCCTCACTGATTTTCACACTCTTGTTGAGACTGTTCCTTGAGCTGCTGCTGCTGCTTCCCAAGCTGCTGCTCACACTGCTTCCCCAATTGCTGTCAAGGGTCACTACCTGATGCCCCTCCGCCCCTCTCCTCTCTCCCTGCTGCCCCCTTCTCTCTTCGTCTCTACCTCTCTCCCCAACTGCAGTCCCACACAGCTTCCCCTGCTCCTCCTCCCCACTGCCCAACCCTTCTCCTTCCACACCCACGCCTCTCTCCCCCACCACCCCCAAACGTGCACCTGACGTTTCACCTACCCTCTCACCTGACACTTCACCTGACAAGTCATCACCCGGGGCTCTGCACTCCCCTGCGCTTCCCTCCCTCCCAAGCACCCTTGTCTCGTCACCACCCTCTCTTTCCTCCCCTTCTGTTCCTCCACTCCCCCCTGCCACCGCCACACTCCCCCCTCCACTGCTCTCCCCAATCGTGCCTAGGAAAGTTCTAAGAGCCTTTTCGAGTTCCCTCGCTGCATCCCTCTTCCGAACCCGTTGACCTAGTTCACCCGCCTCACCCTCCCTATCCCGTCCGCCTGCTCCTTCCCACCGCACTCCACCTCCCACCACGCCCTCCGACACTCCCTCCTGCTGCCCTTCCGCCTCTTCCTTTCCCCCAGACAAGCCTGTCGAGTCTAGTTGCGCCAGGAGGGATTGCAGTAGCGGTACCATAGAGTGAAGTGGGGGCGAGGCAAGTCCCACAGCAGTGGGTGGGAGAGCAGGAGGGGGAACAGCAGGGGAAGGATCAGCAGAGGGGGGATCAGCAGAGGGGGAAGCAGCATGGGGAGGAACAGCAGAAGGGTCCGCCTCTTCCTTTCCCCCGTCCTCCCCCCTCCTTGTCCCCTCCTCCCCCATTCTTTCCCCTTCATCCGCTCTCCCTTCCTCGTCCTCCGTGCGCCTCCCCCCTTCCACCTGCCTAAGCCCACTGCTCCCAGCAGCATACTTCCACCCCACGGTCCCCACCTCCCCCCCAACCGACAAAGACCTAAACCCGCCCCTGAACCCTACTCCCTCCCTAAACCCCCGAGGGGATACACCAGGGGAGGAACCAGGACTAGCAGACCCCTCCCTCAAGTCCCTCCCATCTCTCCCCCATCGCTGCTGCCGCATTTCGTTTCGGAAGGTGCGGCGGGGGGAGAGGAAGCAGGAGAGGCGAGGCGAAGCCGGGGCATCCATTGAGCTCCACCGAGGGGAGCGCACGGCGGGTTCTTCTGGAAAGGTTCCTGCACCTGCTGCTGCTGCTGTTGGTGATGATACTGATGCTGAGGCTGCTTGCGCAGAGGTTGTTGCCACCACCAGTAGTCTAAGATCCTTTGGAGGGGGGATAGGAGAGGTGTGCGAGAGAGGAGAGGCGGATAGGGTCGTGTCCCTCTCCCTTTCTCTCTCTCTCTCACCCCCAAATGGCACTGCCCCGTTTCCTCTGGACTCCGCCAGAATAGCATCTGCTGCCCGGGAAAGGACCGAGTCGGGGAGGGAAAGACTATTCCGGCCCGTCTTTTGAAGCATTCTTGAAGGGCGCGGAGGAGGAGAGGAAATAGCAGCAACAGCAGCGGCAGAGGCAGAAGTAGAGGCAGCAGAAGCCAAAGGAGCAGAAGAAGAAGAAGCAGCAGAGGCAGCGGGAGGGGCGGCAGAGGAGGCAGCTTGAATGAGCGCGCGGATGGAGGGGAAGGAGTGGGAGGTGGGCTCGTCCCCAGCACCGTACTCAGAGCGGGCCAGTGGTATTTCCGAGTGTGACGCAGAGCGAGAGGCGTTCTGATGGGCAGCTGGAGAGGAAAAGGCGTCCTGGCGACCAGCGACAGAGGATGTGGATGGTGTGTGGTGGTGGTGATATGTGTCGTTGGTGCTACTGTTGCTGCTCTTGCTGCTGCTGTGGCTGTTAGAAATTTGGCTGTCATTGCTCTGATTACCTGCACTATAACTGCTGCCACTTAACCCCCCTACCTTCCCTGCATCCTCTCCCGCCTTCCCGTCCCCTTCCTGCGCCCCACCTTCCCTATCCGCCCCCCTCATCTGTGAAAACGATACAAGGGTGGCTGGTTCAAGTGTAAAAAGAGGAACCTCAGGAGACGAAGGAGGGGAAGGAAGTGCGTCCAATGCTTCCACCCTTTCTCCTCCCTCGCTCCCACCAGGCTCTGCTGGTACTGCCACTCGCTCTCCGCTCTGCTCCCTTGCTGTTGCTGCTACTGTTGCAACCCCCAGGGGTTGAGTGAACGGGGGAGGCGTTTTTTCCCTCCGCCAGGGGAGTTCGCTACTGGTGAAGGCTGGAAGGGTGAGCCGGGTGGCTGACGCATCAGGGAAACCGCCACCACTATCACCACTGCCGTTGCCGCTGCCGCCGCCACCACTGTTACTGCCGCCGCCGCTGGTGCTGCTGCTGCCACCGGCACTGTTCCCAATGCCCCCACGGCTGCTTCCGCCGCTGATGCTGATATTGGGAGAGTAGGGATATATGGGACCCCCAAACGCGCCCATGCCATGCACACGCACTGCTGCTGCTGCCTCTGCCTCCGCCTCTGCCTGTGCGGCTGCCTGCCTCTGCACCTGCGCTGCTGCTAGTGCTTCTATGTCCAACCCTCCTCCTCTTAGTCTTCGAGAATTCTCAGGAACCGACTGGTCTAAGGCTTCTCTAGCCCCAGGCAGATTAACAATGCCAGTACTGGAAGCTGCCTGTGCCTCCTGTCCTTGCACCTGTCCCTGCCCCTGCCCCTGCCCCTGCCCCTGCCCCTGCCCCTGCCCCTGCCCCTGCCCCTGCCCCTGCCCCTGCCCCTGCCCCTGCCCCTGCCCCTGCCCCTGCCCCTGCCCCTGCCCCTGCCCTCCTCCCAATCCCTGTTCCTGCCCGTGCCCTCCGCGTAAGCCCTGTGCCCCGTGCTCCTCTTCCCAACCATCTGCCCTTGGCTCTGCCCGTGTTGCCTCGCTAGGCTTCGCCTCGCTGCTGCTCGCTTGACCAGTGATGTCCCCACTGCTGCCTTCCCCACTTCTGCTACCATCAGCAGCAGCAGCAGCAGCAGCAGCAGCAGAAGTAGACAAAACCGGTGCATGCACAGAGGGAGGCAGGGGAGAGGAGCAAGGGAGAGGGACGGCGGGCAGGGGAAGGGAGGAGAGAGGAGGGACGGCAGGGAGGGGGAGAGTTGAGAGGTTCCAGGAGGAAAAGCTTGGCGAGGTGAGCTCCACGTCAGCTGCCGCCCGGGGGCTCACACTGCCGCCCTTGCTCCGACTGTCACCACTGGCGCCACCGCCGCTGCTGCTTCTGCTGCTGCTACTCGTCGTGCTCCCATGGTTGTCGCTACGTTCCGTGCCCTCAACCCCCACGGACGCAGATGCAAAAGACGAATCGGGAGGAGGAGGAGGCGCAGGCGGGGGAACCGAAGCAGCTACGGCACTTGTGCTGCTGCTGCCGCTGCTGCTGCCGCTGCTGCTGCCGCTGCTGCTCAGTCTGGCACTCAGTCCCGACCCACCCGCACCAGCCACACCACCTGCAGCAGCACCCGTCGCAGGAACAACCCCATGCCTACTGCGGCGACGCATGCGAGAGGGCGAGGAGGGCAGAGCCGAGTCAGAAGCAGCAGCAGGGCTGCCAATGCCAAAAGGGCTGCGAACATGAGCATCAGAAGGGCTCCAGAGGTCAGAGGGGAAGACCTCCAGACCCACACCCAGGCGGTTCAGAGCCTCCGGTTTGCTGGTAGAGCCGCTGTGGATGCTGTTGGGGAGTGACAATCCCCCTGGCGCCATGCTCTTCCCCGCTTCTTGCCCCTGCCGCCTTCCCTCACTGCCCCCTGTGCTGGTTCGTGCTGTGTCGCTCTCTCTCCCTGCTTCTCCTGCTCCTGCCGCTTCCCCTTCCCCAGCTCCTGCTGTTGTTGCTATTGCTGCTGCTGCGGCTGCAGCTGTTGCTGCTCCCTGATCCGCCACGTGTCCCTGGGAATCAGCCGAAGCCCGTGCGTCCGCACCACCTGACTCGGTGGCTAGGCCATTTGACTCAGCGGCAGGACCACCTGACTCAGCAGCTGCAGAGAACGCGGCCGAAGCAGGCGGATATGAAGGAGGGTGGGTGGAGGAGGGATGAGAGGGTGACTGGGACGACCCATGTGTGGTCGATCCAGGGACGGTTGCAGCAGAGGGAGAGGAGGGGAGCGTGGGGGAGGAGAGAGAGGAGGAAGGGGAGGAGGGCTGATCGAGGGTGAGGATGTCAGGAGCGGAGGAGACAGGAGGGGAGGTGACAGTAGGGGAGGTGACAATGCTGAGTGATGCTCCAAAGAAGCTGTCCATGTCCTGCCGAGGAGAATGTGTGGTTGATGGGAGGGACATGGAAGAGGGAGGTTGAGGCGAGGAAGATCAGAATGGCTTTTCACGTCATTTCCCATCGCTTAACAGCACAGGGGATGTGGCAGCATGCCATGTCATGCCGTGTCATGCTGTGTCATGCAACGGGTTACGCGGAAGCGCAGCAGCATCGCACGACACAGCAGCACGGCACGGCATGGCACGGCACGGCATGGACCCACACAGCACAGCAGGGACGTACATCAAAGAGGAAAGACTCCACGGAGCTCCCGATGAGAGCATCCACCGCCCTGCTGGGGGGACTCAGCTCACCCCCTGCTGCTGCTCCTGCTCCTGCTGCCCCTGCTCCTGAATAAGATAAGAATGGCCCCATCCCATCCCCCATGCTCCATGGAAGGCCGCCAATGTCTGTCTCTATCCCTGCGCCACCCATACCCATGCCCCCCCCCAACCCCATGCCCGTGCCTGCGCCTATCCGCGCATTCGCTGCACTAGCGCCGGCAGCGGAACCAGCCACCCCCGCCCTGTGGGTTCCGCCTTGCGCTCCCCCATCGTGCCCCTCGGGACTGCCGGGGATGGCCACGTGCAGCTGCAGGCGGTGGCGGTGGCGCAGGGGAAACGGGGCCTCGCGCGGCTGCGGAAGGCGGAAGCGGGGCCGGCGGAGACGCGGGGGTGTTGAAGGGGAGGTGTGAGGGGGGAGAGGGCAGAGGGGAAGGGGGAAGAGAGGGAGGGGGGAGAGGGGGGGGGGGAGGGTGTTAGTCGGATTGGCGGACGCGGTAGGGGCGGAACAGGAGAGGGAGGGGGTATGGAGTAAGAGGGGAGCGAAAGTGCATGAGTTGGTGAAAAGCAAGGCCTTGATGATAGCCCGAGTGGTAAACAAAATAGGGAGAAAGGAATGGGGTTACAACCCGAGCCGCAACCACTTGCATGGAGTGAGAGAATGTTAAGGGGCATTAGCACGAAGAAGCGAGTGACAAGCGATACAGCGAGTTGTTTGGGGCATTTGATGCTAGTATGGTAATAAGTTGTAACGCGGACAGATATATGGCAGGTACGCGTTTTAACTCGACACCACAGACCGTCACAAAATACCATGTATTTGATATGGGCCTAAAGCCGTGTTCCTTTCCTGAAAAAAGAACCTTTGATATCATAACCCTTTGTACGCATTCGTCCCTAACTTGTAATAAAAATTCTCCCGTGTCTCTGTTTCAAGACATTTCATCACCTGGTTGAAGTCATTATCATTGGAGCTTGTCCGTCCCGCCGCTCCGTCTGCGCCGGTCGCACCGAAATCGTCGCTAGCCGGGAAACCGTTAGAGCTGTCCCGTTCCTGTTCCTCTCGCCCTCCAATGCCATCGCTTTGGGTTCCACTCCAAGCTACTGGTGGTAAGACAGTTGTCAATGCATTCTCTGTTTCGCCGTATCCGTCGCTGGATTTTCCGGGCTCCATTTCAGCTTCCGACTCAGCTGTTCCGGGGTCTCACGAGTCAAACTAGAAGCTTGCTAAATAGTAGGAAAGTAATGGTAGCGTTTCTTGCTTGTGCCGGCCAGGATCTCAAGAGAATTGGCCTTCAATTGCAAAACACTTGCAGCGCTTGTTACCCTATTTTTGTAGGCGAATTGACTGGCTGGTTAGGAAAGTGAGCGTGCGGCACACCCACGATTTTGCCCCTAGAGCAAATGCAAAACATTTTGCTGGTACATGAGATTGTTGTGTGTGACGAGAAATTGCAGGCATTGGAGCTTCGTCACCGAACCAGTTTCCGAGCCTTGCTTGGTTCGGACTGAACTTGCGATTTGTCTTTACTTCGCACCCCTCGCTTCACACCTCGTCAGATTGTTCACCTCGCTAACCAATCGCAGCCCAGCTCCCCTCACCAACTGCAAAACAATTGAACTACTTGAGATCCTGGCTTTAATAAAGCGTCCATAGAGAGGATTACTCGCTACTTGCCTTTCAGAATGTAAGTCAGCCGACTAAAGCTCAAAATGTTTCTACCTACCTGCTTTGGTATTTGTTGTGTGAGTGGTGTGGTGGTTGGGTGGTATATTTGGCGCCAAAACTAGGTGGGCTTGGCTGGGTGAGGTGGGGTAGAGAGGGATGGTGGTGGTTCTGGTGTGTGCTGGCTGATGCCGCTGGTGGCTCGGTTCGGCCCCGCTGGAGAGAATTGCTCCAGGGCCTTGTTTGGTGATTCGCTCTTGCCCACGTGTCCCCGAATTGCTCGCGTGGCCATCCAATTCAGTGATAATTGCTCGAGTGGCCACGCCAGGGCATTTTCGATGTGTTTTTTTCCCCTGGCACATTACCCTACAAGAATTTGTATCCCTGAAATTCCTCGTTCGCACGAGTCTCATCCTGCGGTAGTGAATCGTACTATTCCCCACCCAAAAAATTCGGGTGGGTGGCGGGCGCAAACGTGGCCCACACACTGTACACAAAACCGACAAAAATGCACGACCAACAGTAGATGCGCGGTCATTTTCGGCCCAATGCGCGACCAATGAGCGCGCGGTCAAACAAATTCGTAACCAATAAGCGCTTGAGCATATAAATCCGCGATCATAAACCTCAATTGACCAGCATCAAACCGCAACAGCCCTAACGACCGCACATGATTCGTCAATAATATGCGCAGTGCAATTGTTGGCATTACGCGTCCAATCAGGTGCCATCATTAAGGATTGCGACCATATTTGACCGCGCGAATGAAACTCAATTTAATATATGATCTCGCCAATCATATGCTAAAAACACTCGCACAATTATAAACTCTCAGCGTTTTAATTTGAACCTAATTGGCCAGAGTTTATGTATGTGCGAGTGTTTTTAGCATATGTTTGGCGAGATCATATAGTAAATCGAATTTCATTTGCGGGGTCAAATATGGTCGTAATCCTTAATGATGGCACCTGATTGGACGCGTAATGCCAACAATTGCATCGCGCATATTATTGACGAATCATGCGCGGTCGTTAGGGCTGTTGCGGTTTGATGCTGGTCAATTGAGGTTTATGATAGCGGATTTATATGCTCGAACGCTCATTGGTCGCGCATTGGGCCAAAAATGACCGTGCATCTAGTGTTGGTCGTGCATTTTTGTTGGTTTTGTGTACAGTGTGGTCCACGTTCGCTCCCGTCACTCACCCGAAATTTTCGGGTGGGTAATAGTACGAATCACTACCGCGGGATGAGACTCGTGCGAGCGAGGGTAATGTGCCGGTAAAAAACAAACGCCTCGAAAATGCACTGGCGTGGCCACTCGAGCAATTATCACTGAATTGGATGGCTACGCGAGCAATTCGGGGACACGTGGGCAAGAGCGAATCACCAAACAAGGCCCTGGAGCAATTCTCTCGCCTCGCTGGCTGCTGCTCGGTATTCTTGGAGGTGGAGCGAGCAGCACACGGTCTGCGAACGAGCGACTGATGAAAAACCGCAACAACAACTGAAAGCTCGCACAAGGGCAGACGAGGAGTCTGCGACCTGTACGAATTGGCTGTGGCCGTGGGTGTTACATTTCGGTTTTCAAATCGCGCAAGTTGCTCCTGAGGTCAACCCTCGCCATGGCTGGCCTGTATCATTTCTCTGGAGCTTTTCATAACTGACATTCACTTAGCATGGAACTCGAAACTCTATAATTTTGTCAGGCAACCATTTTTCGCTGGAATGAAACCATAAATATTTCCAAGTAGCTAATGGTTTCTCTTATACAATCTGGAAACAAGTTAGAAATAAACGTAAATTTTAGGATATCGTACACATTGTTCAGACTTTGGTCACATCAGCGTTGTCAAGCTGGTGAAGAATGCGACGGCGGCGGCTTGGTTGCATCCCTGAGCTGCAATAACCAATCTACAGTGGTCAAGTGGGCTCGATATAAGCAGCGAAGCGTTTCGTAAACGAACAGTACAGTTGTCCCAAACCAAGCCCAGGTTACAGTAGATTCGGTCATCTCGCCTTGAACGAACCTTATATCTACACAAGCACGAAAAAACATTTTTTTTTTTTTTTAAGATGGAATCATGCTCCACACGGGCAACCTACACTCACCAGTCCCATCTCGCATCGCAGCGTAGCTGATTGTTCACGGCACAACATTGTTGTGATGTTCTGTACGGACGTTCTAACGAACTCAAAAGAAGGCACTCTCTCCCATATTGGGCCGCTGCCATCGTGATTCGTGACGAAAAGGGAGAAAAATAAAACGCGTTAAAATTCCTTTTCCCCGTGCTGTAGATAACATCACGCCATCGGATCAAATCCGCGCGGCACGGAGCTTTTCTGCTCGCATCTGCACGCCGCGCGCTGAAGCGGAAACATGCGCAGCCGCGGGGCCGCGGACGGCTTCGGCGGAATTTCCGTTGACGGTTTCATCGGGGGTTCCGTGGAGCTAGATTTTGACGAGAATGTTGACCGCAACAGTCCGCGACCCAAGCCGAGTGTAGCTGTGCTCGCGAACCGACTCGTCCGGCTCGGTTCCGTTACCCGATCCGCCGTGAGATCATCCCCGTTAAGAGCCATTGCCGCCGGCGCGCTGCTGATGATGCTTCTGGGAGGATTCGCCGTGGCGCGGTGGTTGGTAGGGGGCGGCGGCGGCGGCGGCAGCGGGTTGGGCGGCGCGGGCTGGAAGAAGGAGCGGTTTTTCTGCGGGTCGGAGGAGCATAGCACGGGAGAAATAAAGCCGTTTATATTTGTGTACGATCTGGGCGGGGAGTTTACGAGTGCCGTTCTTAAAATGGCTCCATCTTCGTGGTACTCTGAGGCGCATGACGCGGAGCGAGTGCTGTATGAGGTGCGCAAGGGGGGCTTGGGGCGGGGGAAAGGAGAGCGGAGAATAGCGGATGGAGAGGGGATTTGATGGGATGGGAGTAGAGGAGAGGAGATTGGGGGGGAGGAGAGGAAGGCATGAGTGATTGGTGGGAAGGGGGAGAGGGAAGGGGATGGGGAGAGAGGGGGGGACGAGGGGGGCGGTGGGACCCTGTTCAACAGGCGACCCGAAGACCAGTGGCAACATAGGGTAGTGGAAGGACGCACACAGAATTGGTCTTCATGAGCAGAGTTGGTTATTGAGGTGACTCAGAAGCAGAGTTGTTCCATTCCATGTGCCCTTCTCCCTTCCTCCCTCCCTCCCTCCGTAAGGAGTAGAGTTGTCTCCGTTCACTTCACTCGCTTCTTCCCCTCTGCATCCCCTTCCCCTCCCACTCCTTCTCCTCACCACCGCCACGTACCCCCTGTGCAGCACCTGAGGGCGAGCAGGGTGCGCACGTGGAATCCCGCTCAAGCGACCCTCTTCTACGTGCCCTTCTCCCCCAAGGCCTCCTCTGGTCCTCCTTTCTCCACCCCCCTTCCCCGCCCCCCGCCCCCCGGCCCCCGGCCCCCTGCAGCACCTGAGGGCGAGCAGGGCGCGCACGTGGAACCCCGCACAGGCGTCCCTGTTCTACGTGCCCTTCTTCTCCGCTCACTTCACCGCCTTGCACTCCCACGACCCCCGCCACGACCTGCAACAGGCTGTCACAGCCACGTCCCAGGTGCATGGGCGCGGGGCGGGGAGGTGAGGACATGAGGACGTGAGGGGAAAGAAGGGAGGGGAGGAGGGGGGAGGGATGGAGGTGGGCGTGGGCTGGGGATGGGGGAGTGCTGAGGATGGGGAAGGGCTGGGGGTGGGGGAGGGCCGGGGGTGGGGGAGGGCCGGGGGGCTGGCTGATGGCTGCCTACCACTCCCAGCATGGGCAGTACTACCTGCAGCACTCCCTATATTTCCTCCCCACTCCCTCCCCCAATCCTTCCTTCCCACCCACTCTCAGAAGTGGCAGCAGCTGCTGACGCGCGTGCACACGGCATACCCCTACTTCAACCACAGCGGCGGCGCCGACCGCCGCCGCTGCTCTTCTCCCTCTCCATCTCTCCTTCTCCCCCAGTCTTTCTCTGTCTCTCATCCCCCCTCTCTCCCCCTGCTTTTGCACTTCCCTTCCCTGCTCACTCCCTATCTTCCCTCTCGACTCCCTTCCCCACTCCCTCGCCCACTTCCCCCCTCCCTTCCCCTCATCCTCAGAAGTGGCAGCAGCTGCTAACACGCGTGCGCACGGCATACCCTTACTTCAACCGCAGCGGCGGTGCGGACCACTTCTCAGTGCTCGCAGGGGACCACGCGCGCTGCCACGCGCTCACCTTCCTGCCGCCCACGCTGTACGCGCGCATGTTCTTCCTGCACATGAATGGAGACGTTATGGTTCGGAGCACACACACGCACCCGCAGAGAGGAATGCAGGTTGGGTCTGGGAGTGGGGTTGGGGTTGGGGTTGGGGTTGGGGTTGGGGTTGGGGTTGCGTGTGGGGTTGGGGGATCTTGGTTCTCCGTGCTGGCCCGTGCTGGCCCGTGCTGGCCCGTGCTGGCCCGTGCTGGCCCGTGCTGGCCCGTGCTGGCCCGTGCTGGCCCGTGCTGGCCCGCGC